GTGACAATGCTGTGTATGTGTGTATATATATATATATATTATGTATCTATATGTTAGTACATTCAAGCTCTAGCATAAATCATTTTTTTAAATAATAAAGAAATGCCTCAAATATATCTTTAGTTTAATTTTTGTATCAGGCAGTTCATTCCTAATTTTTAGCACTTTTTACTTTGAAAGTGCAAACTTGAATATTTGATAGTTTTTTAAAAAAAACCTTGATAAATTATCCTTTATTTAATCTTTCAGGATTAAGGTGAATTGTAGCCATATGTTTTCATCTCTAGTCATTGAAAGAAATAGAGAGTGGGACCCAGTAAACAAACATTCTAATCGAAGAAGACGAAACATTGGAGAACTGACTAGTGACAGTTATCTCCTTGCACGTCGCAAAAGAGAATCTGATGGAGGTTAGAATTTTATGGAATAAATTTCTCTTTAAAAACCTTACACTTAAGATATACCAATAACAAAATGTTCATACCTATACCTGAGACATATGGGAAGAATAAATTAAAAACAAAAAGTACCCACAATGCCTTAAAATTATATATCTTTATAGACTTATTTTTCATTATGTCAGATATGTCTTTGTTATTAGTGCCTTTTGTTGTTGGTGTAGCAATAGATTGACAAGATTGCCATGGTTTGTCACATCAGGTTTCCTTGTTAAAGAAAAACATCCAATAGTCAGAGTAGTCATGTGAAATGGCCACAATTGAAGAGCATTTTTATTTATAACCTCTTAGTACTTACTGTTATTGTGTATATAATGCAAGGAGTAACTTTGGTGAAAGTTGTGTATTTCAGTTAAAACTAGCTTTTTTTTTTAATAAAGTTAATATAAATTTGACATTTGCCAAATTAAACCACTTTCAACAATTTCAAAATTATATAATTGGAGACCTAAATACAATTAGCATCTGCGTCATAGACACCAAACTTGGAGATTTAAATACTTCATTAAAAATTACATTCAAACTACTTATTTAACAAAAGAAATTCTAGGAATGCATCAAACTAAGGAAAATTACAAGCTTTATAAAAATTTGTGACTTTGTATTAAAGAAATATTTGTGTAAGTGAGTAAAACTACAATCTTTGTCACGTATAAAACATGAAAATTGGGAAAAAATCTAGTGTTTGATTTTACAGGTTCCAACAATACTAAAATTATTGAAAGGAGTAAAGTGAGAGAAAAGATTCAAAACTCAAGAACAGATCTTAGTAATGAAACAGATAATGCAGAAAAGAATAGCCAAAGTAGTGAATGCTCTGCTGTAGAGGAATTTCCAGTGAATAAAACAGGAAATACTTACAGTTTTCAGGTAAAGTTTTGTAATGGCATATTAAATGTGAAAGTTAAATCAATCTTGGTAGGGTTTCTCAGTAATTATTTTTAATTTGTAGCTTCTATAAAAAAAAGAAAATTTGTAAACACCGATTTAACTTGTTTAATGTCACAAGCAATATAGTGTATGTTAGTTCATTTTGCTGTCTAACACATTCATGGTATTTGTTAACTTTGAATGTCATTCAGTTACAACATGAATGTAATATGTTACTATGAGTGTAGGGCCGGCACG